TATAAATGAGCCATTTACGAATCTATTCATTAACTTTCTTGGAAAAATTGTATTTCATGTTGGAGTGTTTGAAATATTGTACTCGTTGATGCTTCAATTAATTGATTCGAAATTTTCGCTCTATCTATCCTAATGTACATGGAGCATTGCAAAAGTATTTTCGCCCAGCTCTCTTAAAAGACTTAGCCAAGAACTAACTATACCGCTGTAATGCCTAGACATATTTAGGGTTATGTGCAAAATTTCAGACTTCGAAGGCTTGTGCTTTGTTGTAGTTTATCATTTCTTTTTGTATCAGTGATGTAGATTACACAGTTGCAATTTGTTTATCAGTTTTCCATCTTTTAATAGTTGTATTATATAAACACACTAGATTATAAGATGCAGCGTGTGAAGGTCTACAATTTATACAAGAGCACTTCTTTTTATAGTTGCACGTTTCGCTTTCAAAATGGACAAAATTTTTATTTACCACATTCCGGCCATGCAACAATTATTTTTTTTTCACAGAATACGCTACTATTTTTCTTTCATCTTTTTACCACCTAATATCTTTTTGTAAATAAAAACAAAATATGTGACAAGACGCAACATGAAAAGCTGTACAATCTGCATAGCCGATAAAAACATCAAAGAAGAAAAAAAGAAATTTCTGGTTCGTGTTATTTTTTTGCAACGTCGAAATTTGGTCGCTGAAAACTTTGTCCATTTTGAAAGCAAAAAAATGCAACTATCAAAAAAATGATCCTATGCAAATTGTAGAGCTTCACAGGCTGCATCATGTGATGTGTTTTGTTTTACTAATACAACTTATTAAAGGATTAAAAATTGATACATAAAACTTGATCATTAAACCCATTATGTGTTATATTGGGAATCACGTATACCTAGTACAAAGGAAACGATAGACTACAACAAAGCACAAGACTTAGAAGTCTGAAATTTTGCGCATAATCGTAAATATGTCTGGACATTATAGCGGTATAGTTAGTTCTTGGCCAAGTCTTTTAAGAGAGCCGGGCGAAAAAACTTTTGTAGTGCCCTATGTATTATCATTAATAATATTTATTTCGATTTGCCTGTGTTTCTGTATGAAGTGCGAACTAAAAATTATTAATGAATCGCTTTATGTGTATTTTTTCTTACTTTACAATAGGCTATATGTTGTCACTAAAGTTATTAATGGATACTCCAAAGGAGTATTTGTTTATATGAGTCATATGACAAACAAAATTTTCAATAGACTTCAAGCTATTTGATTGAATCAGCTTTTTTTATTGTCACAAAATTTCTTTGTGGGGAAAGTTTGTCGTTTCCGCGACAAACTTCGTCTCTATTCTACATTCATTGTCTGGATAATAGGATACAAAGATAGAATGTTGTATGTGAATCTGGATTGAATCGGGTCAACTGAAGCATTAAGTATTCTGGAAAACAGTAATTATACAAAATACGATGATATGAATATGTACTCAGTACTAAGAACTATTTGAGAATAGAACAAACTGCATGATCACAATCGAGATCGATCTTCGTTGAATGGAATAACTTTGCAACAAAGACTTTTCAATGATATGAAGTTTTCCAAACAATAGTCTATGAATTGAATGTGAAAAAAAATCATAACTGATTTTTGTTTTGCTTTAGGATTTCATTTAAAAATCTTTTTTTTTTCTTAATATTATCTTTCAATTCGAAAAGAAAACTATATATAAAAATACAAGTGTAAATTTTGTTTAGCGTCAATTTGAATCGGCTGCTTTTTGGGGTGATAAATTACTTTCATTAAATCGAAGTAAATTATTTAATTTTTTTTTATAATATTTAATAAAAATTTCATTATCTATAGATTCATCTGATGATTTACTTCTTGTTGCAAAATGTTTTATGTCCAATGGTGATTATAATCGAACACGTATTCTTCTTGAAAATTCTTCTATGTATCATGTAAAAATTTAATTTTTACTATAAACGAAATTTTATCTTTTCTATTATTGGTTTTTTTGTTTTACTTCTAGACAGATCCTCAATTTAAATATCTTGTTGCTCTTTGTCATGTAAATAGAAAATTTATATAAATTTCGTCTAAAGCATTCTTTTTTAAAATTTCTTTTTTTTAGTTTAATTTAAAAGATTATCAAACAGCAGCAAATGTTCTTGAAGTACTTGAAGAATTTCTTGATATCGATCAACAACAACAACAACAACCAGGAACATCATTTAAAACACCATTTACACCGAAAATAACAAATATTGAACATTCTAATCCTGTATTATATTATTTTATTAATTCATTTTTTTTCTTGATCACTTTTATTTTATTTTTTATAAATTTAGCTTCGTGCATCAATCTGTTTATTACGTGGAAAAGTTGCTGAAATTCTTGGTTCATTACAACAAGCAATGAAATTTTATGAAGAAGCTCTTCGTTTCGATGTTTTTTGTGCTGAAGCATATGAAAAATTAATTAAGAAACATATGTATACACCGGAAGAAGGTATTCTTGTTTGATTAATTTCTACAAAGATTTATGATTGATTTTTAGAACAACGATTAGTCGAAAGAATGGTTATTGAAAAACAATGTGATTCTGATGTTGCTTCAGTTGTACGATGTTTATATGAACAAGAAATTCATCAAGTAAAAAACAAAAAAGAAATCTTAATTAATTAAGAAATAGAATTTGAGAAAAACAAAAGCTACTTTACATTTTATTCCTATGAGAAAAAATTTAAATTTTATTTAGTATATGAAACCAATCGTTGTTAATCTCCCAACATTTACCATCGGTTTATTAAATGATAATGCTGATTATTGTATAAATGTAGGTTATTATTAAATAACATTCTAAACTATTTTCATTCTATTTAGATTGCAGAAAAATTTTATTATAATTATAAATTTCGTGAATCATTTGATTTATGTAAAAAGTATGTAGTGTTTCTTGTTGTGAGGACGAAAACAGCGAATTTAAAGCTTGACATCTGCACACTAGAGTCCATCGAATTTGTTCCAAATCCGACGGACACTAGTCTCGACTGTTTCTCTTTCGTCTTTTTTTTCTAATAAGTTGTTTGTATTTAATTATCTATAGAGTTCTTACTCATAATCCATTTCATCAACATGGTTTGTTTATATATATTGCATTACTCTATGAAATGAAAGATAAAACTGGTTTGTAATTTATGAGAAATAGATATGATTATTGTTTGTTTTTTTTTTGTGTATTGTTTTAAATAGAACTATTTAGTTTGGGACATCGATTAGCAAGACAATGTCCAGAAAATCCAGTATAAAGATTTAAAAATTCTTTGAAAAAAATAATAATGAAATATTCTTACGAATTTTAGATTAGTTGGTTGGCTGTTGGTTGCTATTATTTAGTAACAAAAAAGCCTGAACCAACACGTCGTTATTTAGCGTATGAGATTTAATAAATTTTTCTTTTTTTACTTTTGTTTTTTGATTTATTTTATTTAAGAAAAGCAACATCGCTATGTCGAAGTTTTGGTCCAGCATGGCTTGCATTAGGTCATTCATATGGTCTTGAATCTGAACATGATCATGCTATTTCAGCATATTTTACTGCTGCAGATGTTATGCGTGGGTATGTAGAATTTTAAATTCTATTTGAATTTAAATATTATTTATAAAAAAATTTTTTCTGTATAGTTGTCATTTACCAATTCTTTATGTTGGTCTTGAATATAGTTTAACAAATAATCTTCGATTAGCTGAACGTTTATATTCTGAATCATTAAAATTTTATCCCGATGATCCAGCTGTACTTCATGAATTAGGTGTTATTAATTATCTTAATAGAGAGTTTGTATTAATAAAAGATTTTTCAAAAAAAAAAAGGAAAACCTAGAAAATTTCGTTTAGATATCATCATGCATTACTTTTTTTTCAACGTGCTTTAATTAAAGTTGAAGCTATAGATCAAGTCGATTTATTACCATATTGGGAACCATTATTTAATAATATGGGACATGCATGTCGAAAATTAAAGTGAGAAGAAGAAGAAAAAAAATTCTATACAAATAATAAGAAAGTTAATTTTTTTACTTAGAAAATATGATGAAGCTATAATACATTTTAAAAAATGTCTTGGTTTAACACCACGTAATCCACAAACACTTATTGCTATTGGATTTGTACATGCTTTACAAGGAAATTATGGTCAAGCTATTGAATATCTTCATCAAGTAATGATTGTTTTTTTTTGTGGCCTATTAAATCGAAATTTATTCTGTATTAGGGACTTTGGTTAAGTCCAGCTAGTTCATTTGCTCAAACACTTTTAAATAAATGTTTCAATATGACACAAAGTAAAACCTATGTCGAACAATTGCCAGGTAAAATAATACAACTAAAGGAATATAAAATCGGACTTGTTTTTGAATATTAGAACCACCAAGTGATCTCAATGAGTATTTGTCAACTCGACAAAATAATACAATCAATCAAACAGAAATGATTCCAGTGTCAGTGCCACTTCCTGCTGTAGAAGAATCTGATCAAGGAAGTTCATCAATGATTACAACATAAAACATTATAAAAACAAAAAAAAAGAGAAATTTATATTTTCAAAAATAAACAATTGTCAGATATATGTTTTTTTTCCTCTATTCTTAATTTTTTTTTTTCATTTATTTTTATTACATCAAGATTTTGATTGATTATCAACATCATCATTCTTTTTTGGATAGATATAAACACGTGATAAATTTAATTTTTTATCACTTATACCAATTAAATTTAAATCATTTCCATTTGGAGTATTTGTTGTTGCTTCATCAGTTCGACTACTTGTACTTATATTATCATCAATAGATGTTGATGTTGTACTAAAAAATAAATTTGTACCAAGAATATAATTATATTGACCTTGAAATGTATATGGACCGATTTGAATAAATGGATTTGTACCATCAATATCAATTGCTCGAATTTCAGACTTTACAGCATGTTCAAGAACAGTTTGTTGATCAATATCATGTCCAATATCGGCCATGATTAGAAATTCTTCTTCTTCTTCTTCATCTTTGAATTGTTCAGCATTGTTGGAAGATTTTATTGATTGTTCTTGAGTATTTGAAGGAGTATCTACTTCCATATAATTGATTTGATTTTTGTTTTCTTCTATTTTTATTTGTTCGAAAAATTTTTTTTTCTCAATTATACATTTGATTGATAATGATTGAGCCAGTGATATAAATTCATGAATTTCCAAGCACTGACATATTACTCCCTCTTTCGAATAAAGAAGAAAAAAAACAGGCAAATATTGAAAAGCATCACCTATAAGCTTCTACTATTAAAGAACACTATTGAGACAGAATGATATCATTAACTCATTATTCATCCGCTAAAGCGAGGTCTTTTGATACTTTATAAACTACTGAATTACAAATACAACATTATATTAATTGTTAAAGTTGACTGGATATTTCTATTTACTAACAATAAATAGGACGCTTGAACATTGCAAAGATGAAATCGGTTCAGGTGTGGGTGTACAATGTTGAAAAAAATACTTTTGATTAAATAGATTTATGAATGATTTAATTCTGTATTAAAATTAAATATTGAAAAGAATTGAAATTAAAAAACATTTTCATTATGTCAAAGTCTTCATTTTGAATACAAAGATAAAATACTTTGAATAATACATGATGTTTAACGAATGTTTAGATAATAGTTTCATTTTTTTTAATTAACATTGAAGAATTCCCAAGTATCTATGCATAGTTTTAGTAGTAAGTACATGTGAATGAAAAGTCTAAACATGTATGACTATCACTCATTTGTTAGTTTGAAGCGGCTGTCAAATAAAGACATGTAATTCGGAAATTTTTTCTTTCATACTTATTATATTAATAAATATGATCGAGAGTATCATTTTCATACGAGTCATGATATATCCTACATACATTTGTATGTAGTTATATCTTGTATGTTTTACATTCTTTTTTTTATGAACAAAGTTTTTCTTGTCAGACTATTATGTCTTCATATGATCGATCATTAGCACATATTATATTTTCATATTTTCAAAGTAATATATATATAAATAGACCTTTGAAAACGTATAGTATCATCAAACTTTATGATATAGTTAGATGGTATCACTTATTCATTTCATCATTTTCATGTTATTTATGAGAGTTTGTGTTGATATTACATGTATGGATGAAATTCAATTGGAACTCTAATTGTCTGAACTTAGTTTAAATAAAATCGAAACAATTATTAACAGTCTGAAACGTAGTCATAGTACTATGTGTCAAGTATGTATGAAATGGGATTCTATTGCTAAAATGTTTATGATAAAGTTCGGTCAATCGATAAAAATTAGTACGTCTTCGTTCTGTTGAAAATGTTTATGTACACATTTTTTACTTCTATCATATCAACAACCAATGCAGAGAAGAAAATAAATGAAGCTTCGATTAAGACTATAGTACATTTACTATGCTATAGCAATGATGAGTATGGTGGTCAGTTTGTAGTTGAATATTTCAATCGATTGAAAAATCGATTATTCGTCCTTTGATACTTGTTCAAGATGACAAAAAAATAAGAACAACATGTAATGAATATTTATCTGATCGAAAAAAAGATTTAATTTCATGTTGAGATTTAATCGTTGATAAAGGTCCATGAATCGTTCTTTAGATGAATGTACCATTGGCAGTGGACATAATATAAAACCTTGCTAGCGTAATTCATGTTCATAGTATTATTCGATGGATACAACGTTTGCTGAAGGTAAATGTGAAAATATAGATCTACAAGTAATACCAATGCTCGATCTCATCACAAGGGGCGTAACTAGAAGGGGGATAGAAATCACGCATTGGACTACGTAATATTTGAATTACATCTACATAAACGCCGTAAATGACACCTTTGTTCGAATATTAGGTGACCAAGTGCGCCCCCCCCCCTGTAGTTACGCTCCTGCTCATCACTGAAATAAGAATATTTGTCAAGCACAAACAGAATATTCTTATATTATCAATATTGGTATGCAAATAATATGAGTTATACATTTAAAATCTTATAGAATAATTTATGAATGTTGAGTAAGAATAGAAAGACATTAAATAATCATCTATGCTGAATATTATCCTTATATATAATGTTCAGTGTGTGTGTCTGTCTGTGTGTCCGTGCCGGGTCAAAGGTCAAATAAGGCTATAAGCGGAAGGCCCAAGGGCTACTATATTAGGATACCCATAGGCCCTCAAGGACTAATATATGGGGATAGCCGTAGATTCCCAAGGGCTATCCTATGGAAATACTCATAGGTCCTCATGGGCTATCCTATGGAGGTACTCATAGGTCCTCAAGAGCTATTATATGAGGGCCGCCATGGATCCTAAAGGGTCGTCCTATAGGTACTCATAGGCCCTGAAGGGTGTAAGACAGTAAAGGGATAAGGCTACAAGAGGTACAAGAAATATAAGGCTATAAGGACATATGGCTACATGGACTATAAAAATATGTGCGATATAAGAGTGCGAGACCGTAAGGCTTCGATCTATATACATAATATCGCGTATCTATATTTCTGTTATCGGATGAACAGTTAAATGTCTGAAGTCATACGTTAAAGAAGAAACCAGCCGTGCAGTATGCATGGATTCTCGCTAGTAGAAAATATTGTTCACTACAAATGTGTCCAGATATTTTCCGAATAACAAAAAAAAGGAAGAAAACGATGAAACTAAACCTGGTGGAGCAATCTTCAAACATTATTCATCAATTAAATTTTGGTGTGAATTAAATAAGTGCACAATAATCAAAAGATTGGTAAACTAGTTACAGAAGCTGTAAGTAAACAATAGGATTTATGAACAATGCACAAGGCTTAGAAAACTGATCGAAAACGTATTATCAGATGAAAAGAATGCATTTTCTTCAATTGCTTCTATCAGTATTCCATCAAGGATCCTTAGTTGCTTTACTAATACTAGTACTATCATCAACATGATAACAACTACTAAGGATGCGCAATCATATATTATAATTATAAGTCTGATGTGGATATATTACTTTATTTTCTCATTCTTTTTATTCATACATATTTGTCATTTTCTATGCTTTACTTCTTTCGGAATCTACTTCGAATAAATAAAATTTAAAGAAGATGCTTTGAATTTTTTTAAATTATCAGGCAACTTTTAATAGATATAGTGGCAGACTCAAAGATAGTCTGTTTTTCAAAGCAAAAATCTGAATTAATTTGTTTTTTTTTCATCATCGTCTTTTATGATTAGTTCTTTTCTTTGTTAATAATTATGTGACTGTAACTATAAAACACAATTACGCTAGTGACCAAAAAGTAGCACGGTAAGGTATAAGTAATCAAAACTACAAGCATTTGAGCTCATATCTTTCTCGTGATTAAAGTTCAGTAGACTTTAATCATTGGCACCAAATAACCTTGGAGAGGATATAACACAACAGAGTTACGAGTCAAATAGTATTTTGTCTTTTAGAAATTTATCCCTCAGTCATTGTGACACCTTCAATTTTACACGATCTTTCATGCAAGAGTTCTATGTCTAAGCATTCTCTAATAATCTTCGTTTGAGAATTTCGTGTTGTTGGAGTCTCTTTGGTAAACGTCTGATATTAACGGAATGGTTTCCTGAAAGCTTGAGAGCGATAGCTATCTATGAACAGAGATTATAGAGGAAGATAGATTCCATCAATATACGATTCACCATATCTCATGGTCTCAACAGATTCCGGTGGTAGAAACAAGATGTTTAGAGTTTCATACATCAGTCAAAAGTGTGTTGTCAGCTAACAAAACACTAGAGAACGATCTAAAATTTCTCTAGACCTTCATTTCGGACTTTTACGGTAAAAGTCTTTTTTAAGAGTATTTTGATCAGAAGTTATCCTAGGTTTATAGAATCAAATTGAAATTTATAGAGCATAAATTTTTAAGTACTCAAGATTGTTTGCTTCCACCTTGTAACGATGATCGTTCTCTTATGAGCTATTCTACGGTTCATCGATTTCAATAATAACATGAAAGAAGGAGACATCTGATGATATATTATAAACTCTGCCATTGATGATTACTTAGAAGTTTTTCCTTCTTACAATTGCCGCAGATTGTCGTGGTGCATGCATACTTATTTTCGTTACATCTCGAAATGGTCGTTGCCATGTCTCTCAAGCTTTATCAACAATATCAAATTATTTATCTTGCATAACATATATAAAGTTTATGCTCTACAAGTTTTAATTTGTTCGTATGAAATTCGGATAACTTCTGATCGAAATACACTTAAAAAAGACTTTTGTCGTAACAGGTCGAAATGATGATTAGAGAGAGTTTTCAGGTGTCTTTCTGCTATTCTGTCAGTTAAGAGTATACTTTCAACTGATACATGAAGTTCTAATCATCTTGTTTCTACTACAGAAGGTGCACCTAAATCTGTTGAAATTTTAAAAAATAGTAATTGTTCAGTATCAAAGTTGGTCTTCCTCTATAACTCCTGTTCGTTAAATGCTATCATTCTTAAACTTTCAAGAAATCGATCTTTACTATTGGATATTCACCAAGAAAATTTTCAATTTAAATCATTGAAAATTACTCGAGTTCTAATTAACTTATTAAGAGTTCCCGAGATTTCAGTAGCACAAGATTCTCAAACAAAGATGTAGAGCTCAGCAAGACAAAGATCTCTTAGAAAGAAAATTTTACTGATGAATACTTAGACATAGAACTCTTAAATGAAGGACAATGTGAAAGTGAAGGCATCAGAATGGCTGAAACATAGATATCTAAAGGGCAAAGCATTGTTTGACTCGTAACTCTGTTTTATTTCATTCTATCCAGAGTTGATTAGTATTTATAATAAGAGTTCACTGAACTCTAGTCCAGAGAAAAATGTGAGTGCAAGTGGTTGAAGTTTTGATTGGTTTTACCTGATGGTGTCACTTTTCTACAGTAGTGTAAGTGCATGCTTTATAAAAATATTAGATAGCTCTATACAAAAAGCTTTGATAACTTGAGAGTGTGTGTGTGTGTGCATGTTGGTGGGAACATAGATGAGCGTAAGTACAAAGATGATGTTTTCTCATGGCTCT